ATTTTTGGTAGAGACGGGGTCTCGCTCTTGCTCAGGCTGGTCTCGAACTCCTGAGCTCAAACAATCCGCTCGCCTCGGCCTCCCAGAGTGCTAGGATTACAGGTGTGAGCCACCGCGCCCGGCCGTATATTCCAGTTTTATCAATTGTTCTAGTAATGTCCTTTGTGTCATTTTCCCCCCAAATCAGGATCCAGTTCAGAATCACACATTGCATTTAGTTGTCATCTCTTTAGTTATCTTTAATTGGGAACTGTTCCTCAGGCCTTCTTTGTCTTTCATGACATTGACATTTTGAAGAACACAAATCCTCAATTTGTCTGATGTTGCCTCAAGATTCGTTTCAGATTATACATTTTTGACTGGGATACTACATAAAGTACATTGTTTTTTCCAGACATGATGTTTGGAAACACATGATGTCTGTTTGCCCCTTATTGGTGTGGTTAATTTTGATCACTCAGTTATAGCGTTATCCACTTCTCTGATACAATCACTATTTTTTTATTTTTGTAATTAATAAGTAATTTGTAATATGTAATTCAAAACTATGCAGATAATTCTGATCATTATCGGACCCCACCACCAGCACCAGAATCATCCATTGATGATTCATGCCTGAACCAAATTTTATTCTGATGGTTTGCAAAATAGTGATTTTCTAACTCCATCATTTCTTCTATTATTTATGAGTTGACATTCTGCCATAAGAGGTTTTTCTTCTCTCCATTTATTTATGTACTTACAGATTCTTATTTTATTCAGTAGAATTGAATATTTCCATTGAATAAAATCAGAATTTTTAATTTCTGGCCGGGCACGGTGGCCCACACCTGTAATTCTAGCACTGTGGGAAGCCAAGGGGGGAGGATTGCTTGAGCTCAGGAGTTCAAGACCAGCCTGAGCAAGAGCGAGACCCCGTCTCTACTAAAAATAGAAAGAAATTAGCTGGACAACTAAAAATATATAGAAAAAATTAACCGGGCATGGTGGTGCATGCCTATCGTCCCAGCTACTCGGGAGGCTGATGCAGAAGGATTGCTTGAGCCCAGGAGTTCGAGGTTGCTGTGAGCTAGGGTGATACCACGGCACTCTAGCCCAGGCAACAGAGTGAGACTCTGTCTCAAAAAAAAAAAAATTTTTAATTTCGATACTCAGATTTGGCCAGCGGGAGCCTTCAGGCTGCCTCCCGTGTCGTTTTGACATATCCCCATCACGTTGTTGAGCACTTCTTTTCTTTCTGCCCCTCCAGGCTCATCTATACGTTCCCTGCCCAGCCCTGGAATTAGCCGTTTCTGCAAAGAACTTTGCTTGCTTTTAGTGGGGAATGATTTTTAGAAACCAGAATCTGGGTTGCACTGGAATTCCCAAATTCTGAGAGAAGGGGCAGTGGAAAAGATTTTTGGAGAATAAATTCTGTGAAAGTATAACTTTCCATAAGTAGTTTGAACATTTGTATTTTTGCTTAAATCTGGGAAAAAATGTTCTTGTAATTGTACTCAGAGTTACTAGTGTATTTACTTACCGAATTTGTAATTGTTTAAGTGGATCTTAAGGAATTTGATGGAAACTAAGCAGAGATTGCTTCAGTGTTGATTTTTTTTCTGATTTCTTAGTGTTTAATGTTCATTCTAAATGAACAGATGCTGTCCTATGTTTATAAATAACCCTCTCATCCTATGTAGCTAAGTAATTGTAAAAGTTAATGACAAGATACATATTTGTTTTCATTTTTAGAATCATGCAGTCTAGTTCTTAGAGGTTCCTTTAATTGAAAATACCATTAAAGAACTTCATGTGTATAGTAGGTTCGTATCTATTTTCTAGGACATTTTAAGTAGCAAAACCTGCTTGTGAGTTTTAAGGGTTTTTGTTTTTTTTTTTTTTGAGACAGAGTCTCACTCTGTCACTCTGGGTAGAATGCAGTGGCATCATCGTAGCCCATTCCAACCTCAAACTCCTAGGCTCAAACAATCCTCCTGCCTCAGCCTTCGAAGTAGCTGGGACTGCCTGGCTAATTTTTCTGTTTTTAATAGAGACGGGGTCTTGCTCTTGCTGAGGCTGGTCTCGAACTCCTGAGCTCCTCTAGGATTACAGACATGAGCCATGGCGCCTGGCCTTGATTAAGGTTTTCATAGGGAGAATCTAAACAATTTTTACCTATTTCTTTATATACTAATGTTAATCCGCCATCAGAGTGACTGGAAAATGATAGGCCCTACAGTTACCTAATTCTCAGATAATTCCTGATTCTTGGTTTACCCTTAGTTGGCATTATTTTGTGTTCTTATAATTGTGTTCATAATATTTTGATTAAGTGCTATATCTATATTTTTAGTTTTCAGCTTGGTATTTCTGCTACTTGATACCATGGAACAGGTTTTATATCTGTATGATGTGAAAGCAAGTCTTGGTAGGGCCAGACCCCTTTCAAACTCTATTGTCAGGAGCTTGTAAACACTGATTTGTCCTCTTAAAATGGGCCAGCTACTCCTTTTTAGGACAAACTCTCGAAATAGTATTGCACAGGTGGGGAAAGTTCTCTCTGCAGGGATGGCTTCCTAAGCGCTTCAGCTGTCCCTGTGTAGAGCTGACACGTGCAGTCAGATTTCCTGGTGGTCAGCAATAGTGAGATCTTTGGTTCTCAAGGAATGTGTCCTTTTGACTCAAACTGTTGGAGACTCCTGCTTTCACACCCAGAGCTGCTGACCAGTTCTCTTTTCCCTTCTAGAAATGACGCTCCTCTCCTCCCAGTCTTCATCACTGGTGGCCCCTGCCGGGTCTGTGTCTGCTGAAAACCCAGAGCAGAGGATGTTGGAGAAGAGAGCCAAGGTGGTAGAAGAACTTCTTCAGACAGAAAGAGACTACATTCGGGATCTGGAAATGTGTATTGAGCGGATCATGGTACCCCTGCATCAGGCACAGGTGGGAACTATGGGAGACAGTTAGCTTGACTTGGAATGTGGTCCTATAAGCTGGAAGCACTGGGATGTGGGAGCTTTCACCACAGAAATTTATTGGGTTTGAAATAAAGGCTGTGACTGTAGTTGCTGCTGCTATTAATCAAGGGCCCCAACATACGTGCATCATCGGCTTAAGCCTTCAGCGTCCTGTCACTTGTCAAGTCTGCTATTAACCTACCAGCCTTACTGTAGTAACTCCCAGGATATTTTCTATTTCTATGGCTCCTGAAAATGGTTCCAGGGAGTCTGAATTGTGGCTGTGCTGGGAAGGTTGTGTGATAAATAACAAAGTCCCAGGGTAAGGGTTCCCTGGCTCTAGTATCTGATCATACAGAGTTTGTTTGGGAAACCCTCACTAACATGTGCATGGGCTTTTCTAGGTGCTGGATAGTAAGGAAATGGTAACAGTATCTCAGGGATTTACAGCCTTTATTGCTTGTTACTTGATCACTTGAGCTTGCCTTGGGTTATACTCTTGGAGCCTTCACGCCCAAGTACTTCTGTAGCCAGTGGGCAGTACCATCAGACAGGTGCTGGTGGCAGTTTGTATCCCAGTGTTGTTTTTTTTTTTTTTTTTTTTTTTTAGTGCTGTGGCATCAGCCTAGCTCACAGCAACTTCACACTCCTGGGCTCAAGCAATCCTCCTGCCTCAGCCTCCCGAGTAGCTGGGACTACAGGCATGCGCCACCATGCCCGGCTAATTTTTTCTATATGTTTTTAGTTGTCTGATTAATTTCTTTCTATTTTTAGTAGAGACGGGGTCTCGCTCTTGCTCAGGCTGTTTTCGAACTCCTGAGCTCAAACAATCCGCTTGCCTGGACTTCTCAGAGTGCTAGCATTACAGGCGTGAGCCACCGCGCCCGGCCCTATCCCAGTGTATTTATAAACCAAATTGGTTCCATAGTCACTTTACTAAGATGCTGGTCAGGAGAACAGAGAGTACTTGGATCGAGGACAAAGGGTGACACTAAAGATGACATTGGAGGTTTCTATTGTAGAAACTTTGAGAAAGTGAGTGAAGAAAATGACCTTGAGCAATTTTCGTACAATCCTTGAGATATTCCCAATATGAATGATATGCCATTGATTTCATTTCCATGCATTTTTTATGTTTTATTTCCCTTTCTCAGCTACCAAACATTGACTTTGAAGGACTTTTTGGAAATATGCAGGTGGTGATTAAAGTCTCAAAGCAATTATTGGCTGCTCTGGAAGTCAGCGATGCTGTAGGTATGAGCCCTGCCATTGTTTGAGAAGGGTGGGGGGAAGGGGCCTTCCTGATACTGAGTGGTTATGCTAGGAAAATGCAGTTTTAGTTACTTAGTTCAGAGGTTATTTGACCCCCTGCTGCTTCTTGTATCTCACATTGCTTTGAGATGATATAGGATGTTAGCAGCAGTACGATGTTTTTCAGACTGATGGTTGCAGCCTGTTACTGGGTCATGAGATCAATTCAGTGGTTCGTACCCAGTACGTATTTTTTAATAAACTAAAATAGAAAATATCAGAATGTATTGTAAGCAATAAGTATAACTACTATTTTTTGAAACTTTTATTTCCATTCCACATATATGTATACCAAGTCATGATTTAAAATGTTATTTATTTATGTGGGTCATTGTCAAGAATATTTTCAAAACATTCATCTAGTTCTTACACACAAGGGAACTTATTAGCTATCTATTGCTGAGTAACGAATTACACTGAAACTTAGCAGCTTAAAATGTTAAACACGCATTACCTCACAGATTCTTTTGGTCAGGAATCTGGAAGCGCCTTAGCTGGGTGGTTCTGGCTCTGGGGCTCTCATGAGGCTGGAGTCAGGCTGTTGGCCTGGGCTCAGGGATCCACTTCCAAGAAAGCTCACTCAGCTCTTCAGCCCTCAGTTCCTTGTCACGTGAGCCTCTCCGTGGACTCTCCTCAGAACATGACATGAGTCATGAGCCACCCAGAGTGAGTGGCCTGAAAGAGAGCAAGCCTGAGGCAGGAGCTTCAGCGTCTTCTACAACCTGATCTCAGAAATGACAGAGCATCCCTTCTGCCATAGTCTACTGTCATAGAGACCAGCCCTGGTACAGCACAGGAGGGGACGGCCTATTATTTTGCTATTTTATTGGAATCATAGTTCCAAGATGCTGCCACAGTTCCAGCCACCCCACTACACATCCAGCCGAAGGAGAAAGTGACCCCAGTGTCATTTTGAGAGTTCGTAAACCTTTTCCAGAGCTCTTCCATCAGATTTCTCCTTATGTCTCATTGGCCAGAACTGGTCACATGGATACTGTAGGTCACGTTAGCCTACATTGATGGCTAGAAGAGGGACTGGGGTTGAGACGTTGGTTTAGACTAGGCAGTGTTTACCTAACTCACCTGGGAGAACAGTAAACAGAGCAACAAAACAGAGCTCTGCCCTTCTGAAGGTACAACACAGTCAGCGTTTCTACACACCCTCTCAAGATATGCCAAGCTGGATCTCAGTTGTTCCCTATGGCCGCCCTCTGAGGTCTAGCTGCTCTTAATCTTACTTTGCAGATGAGGTAGCTGAGACTTAGAGAGAAGGTAATTTGCCGAGGTCTCGGGGCTAGTAATCGACAGGACCGCATTCAAACTCGGGTCTTTCTGTCATCCAGGCTCACGTCACGAGCCTCTATACAGAGTAGAGCTGTGTGTCTCGCACTTTCCGGGATGGCTAGAGAAAGCGAAGCCAGAGGTCCTTGCTCTCAGCCTAACTAGAGAGGTCAGGGAGGCTGAGGAAGGAGAAGCACACATTGAGTTAAGCTGAAGGAAGTCATGGTGACCCAGTTTTAATATAATGATAAAGCATAAAACCCAATTTATAAAATTTGATAAGCCATTTGAGATAAGTATGTGTAGGTCTTTTATTTGAATTTTGAAAGAAATGGGAGAAATTTGGCTGGTATCTAAAAGGGATTAATTGTTAATGAAGCAATTACTCATTTTTCTTCCCATTTATTTTACTACCTGTTGTCGTGTTCGGGGCTCTCAGTTTCCCCAGGATGACTTCTCTTCAGTCTAGTTCCTGTCAGAGATGGGTCTTATATGCCATCTAATATTCAAGTGGTTTATTCTCGCTGCACTCTTAGAAGGTGGATAGCGGGAACAGGCTGGTGGCATGGGTCAGATACCGTCGGGGGTCAAGTGACCACCCAACTGGGCCGGCGTCCGTCCACAGACGGTTCTCAGAGTTTGGGGAGATCTTTCCCCCTTTTTTATACCAGCATTCAGTCTGGGTCAGTTATCAACTATCTGTTTCACAAAGGGAGTTTGAGCTGTTCTTGTAAAAGTCAGCTTTGTTTTAAGGTTTGTGAGAGTTGCATCAGTGCTGAGGTGGTCTTGTCTCCTGGAAATCCCCCCCGGGTTAGGTCACATTGCTAAGTGACACATAGCAGTGGCCTTGCAAGGCATTGCAGTGGGCCTCCTGGCTACCATTAATCTTATATCCATAATCCCATCCCCGTAAGATCTGTGTTTATCTTTTTTTCTTCTCTTCCTGTCCTATGTGAAACAAGGAATTGGATAGCAGACTTAGGCACGTTGAAAACACTTACAGAAAAGTGGTGGAGAGTTCTAGGAACGGGAAGGCCAGAACCGAGGCAGAGGACTAGCGCCACAGAGGAGGGAGGTGTGTGGGGGAAGCCGAGGCCACTCGAGTCCACTGTGCGGGGTGGCTCCAGTCTCCACCAGAAGTCCAGGTGATGCGTTCAGTGGGGAATTAATAAAAGACAAGATCTTGGACATCTGATAAGGTTCTGAGAAGTTGGAGAAAGGCAAGTTAAAGCTTTGTGGAACCACCAAGTTAGAAGATGAGCAGGAAGCACCGGGGGCTCTGGGTATGCAGTAATAAGGTGGAAAGGACTGGCTTTTACGTTATTTTAAAGCACGTCCCACAGAAAGAAATGTTTTACATAATGACCCAGGATACATGTTTTTGTATGTATGTCTGTGCTTAGTTTTACTATGTCCAGTGTTTTCTGATATTTTGTTCTCTGTTCCATTTTATTTCATCAAAAAAGTTCAGATCATGGCCCATTAAGTAAATTTCGTGACCCATAGTTTGAAAAACATTGGAGATTAAGGTGTAGCTTTGCTAGTTTGTAGTTGACGTGGACTAGTCACCATCAGGTGGGTGAAGAGCAACGAACTGAGGGGTGTGAATAATCATCTGTCTGAGAGAGAACGTTCTAAGAATGCAGGTAAGGAACAGGAAAATGCAAGAGAATAAGGCAAGCAAATGTAGCATGGTGAAATGAGGTAAAGAAGACGTTGGTGAGGCCGGGTGCGGTGGCTCACGCCTGTAATCCTAGCACTCTGGGAGGCCGAGGCGAGAGGATTGCTTGAGCCCAGGATTTCGAGACCAGCCTGAGCAAGAGTGACAAGAGTGAGACCCCGTCTCTACTAAAAATAGAAAAAATTAGCCGAGTGTGGTAGTGAACACCTTTAGTCCCAGCTACTTGGGAAGCCGAGGCAGGATGTTCCCTTGAGCCCAGGAGTTTGAGGTTGCTGTGAGCTGGGCTGACAGCATGGTACTCTAGCCCAGGCAACAGAGCGAGTCTCTGTCTCAAAAAAAAAAAAAAAAAAGAAGAGACATAGTGGCTCAGGGATTCCAGAGTGGCTGTGAAGATCAAAAAGGAGCCAGCCCCACTCCCGCCACTGTGACCGTCAGGTTGCAGGAGCAGACAAGGTGGCGTGAGGTGATGTTTACAGAAAGAAGCTATAATTAAGGAAATTAAGTAGAAATTGATCTGCATAAGAATAGGGACCTCCGCAGGGCACAGCAGAGAGAACAGAGGTGACGCCACAGCGAAAGGGATGGGGTTCCATGAGGGGCCATGCGCGGCGCAGCTGGTGGGAGTAGTTGCAAAGGAAGCCGTGAGCAGGATCGTATTTGAGGGAGAACCAGGGTGAGAGGACTTTTTCTGTGGAGCACCACAAGATGAAGAAGGAAGTATCGAGTCTGTTGAGGGAAGGGCAAGAAGAAGAACCATTTATTTATTTGTTTGAGATAGGGTCTCATGCTATCGCCCAAGCTAGGCTCAAGCAATCCTTCTGCCTCAGCCTCCCCAGTAGCTGGGACTACAGGCACATGCCACCACGCCTGGCTAATTTATTTTTGGTAGAGATGGGGGTCTTGTTATGTTGCTCAAGCTGGTCTTGAACTCCTGGCCTTAGCGATTCTCCTGCCTCGGCTTCCCAAAGTGCTGGGATTACAGGAATGAGCCACTGCACCCTGACCTGTTTTTACTAATTTCTAATTAAAACTTAACATTTATTATAGGGAATAAACCACATAGTATTTGCGGTACCTGTGACTGTCACCAACTGAAGTCACATGTTCCTATCACCTTAGGTTGTTGCAGGTATCTTGAAATTTCAATAATTTCAGTAATACTCAACCAGAAGCAAAGAATGTTAACAGTGTATGTCACTCATCATATTGTGAAAGTGTGGGGATTATTGAATTCATTGCTGCATTTGGTTACTTAGTGACTTATAAGGAAGTACATGTTATTAAATCACAGATTGGGAATTTTTTTATATTATAGATACTTTAATATAATACATTTTATTTATAGCATAACGAAAAAGTTAGAAACTGCTGCTGTAGGAGCCTTCTGTAGATTTTCCCTGGAGATGAGAAAGTGAGGTGATCCCTATGAGGTCCTGACCACACGCCTACAGGGACAGTGGTTGCAGATGCCTTGCTCTGCCTAACTAGAAAGGGACTGGAGACTCTGTTTCAGGGATCAGCTGTGTGTGTGTGTTTGTGTTCTAAAAAATACATGGATGACATGATTCTCTAAATTGTGCTTTACACGATTACAACTTTAAGCTATTAAATGGAAATTTCTTATTAATTTGATGGACACCCTTATTTCTTATAATAAATAGGATTTAATTGCTACTAAAGTTTGGCTACGTACCGTGCATTTAGGCTACTGAGAAGAAAGTTACTCAGAACACTGTATGTTTGTGTACATTCCGAAGGACCTGTGTTTCTTGATCACCGGGATGAGCTTGAGGGCACGTACAAGGTTTATTGCCAGAATCACGACGAGGCCACTTCACTGCTGGAGATCTATGAGAAGGACGAGAAGATCCAGAAGCATCTTCAGGACTCCTTGGCAGATCTTAAGTAGGCGTCTCCAACACTTCATTTCCATCATAGCTCTTTAGTTCTGCCTTTTAGAAGTCACCCTGTGTGTGTGTGTGGACTTTCTATGACATCTGTCTGCCTTATTTTAAACAAAATGATGTATGTCCTGTTATGTAACTTGTCCTTTTCCCATTATGTATCATGGAAATCTTAAGTGCTTCCTGCTTGTATTTTTGTCTGTTTGAATCACTTTTATCTATATATACAAAGTATTAAGTTAGCATTTTCAGATAAGCAGCAGTGAGGAAGATAGTCTGGGCCAAATGAATAAGAGCACAGGTGAGAAGACCAAGTACAACCATTCTTGACATCAGGTGTGAGTCTCTTGGTCTTAGGGAGGCAAGTTCTAAAGATATAATATATGGATAAGTAGATCAAAGTAAAGTTTGGGGCTTACTAACTTTTTTTTTAGATATGCCACTGACATACTTTCCTTTTTATCGCATGTGATTTTTGTTTGCCTAACTAACAGGTATGTTCTGAGAAGAATGTGAAAATCAACGTGTCTCTAATAAGCTGTCTCTTTTCTTTTCCTGCCCACTGCCCTGTAGGAGCCTGTACAATGAATGGTAAGTTCCATTGCTACTTGATGTAGGAACTTGTTTCTTCAGTGGATTTTTCCTAACCTTAGAAGACTGACTTTATTTTCTTCCTTTGTAGATAAACCTAGACGTAGGCTCACCTTGCTGTATTTTTTTCATAGCACTTACCACTATGTTTGTTTGTTGACTGTCTTCTTCCACCACGGCAGGGACTTTTTACGGTCACTATTAGATCCCCAGCACCTAGAACAGTACCTAGTGTTTACTAGATGCCTAGTAAATATTTGTTGAATGAATGAAATTAGAAAGTAGGGTAAAACAACAGAGCTATACTTAAGAAGAACAAATACACAGGCACTATATTATTGACAGCTGACTGGAGTCTTTTTTTCCTTCTTTCATAGGGGTTGCACAAATTATATTAACCTGGGCTCCTTCCTCATCAAACCAGTACAGAGGGTAATGCGTTACCCACTGTTGCTGATGGAGCTGCTGAATTCCACCCCAGAATCCCACCCAGATAAAGTGCCTTTAACCAATGCAGTCCTTGCAGTCAAGGAAATCAACGTTAACATTAATGAATATAAACGTCGAAAGGATCTGGGTAAGAAAAGCATAATTGCTGAAAAGGAGGTATGCCCTTTGAGAATGCTTTCCTTCCCAAAACAATTATTAATAATTAGGCCAGGCATGGTGGCTTACACCTGTAATCCCAGCACTTTGGGAGGCCGAGGCAGGAGGATCACTTGAGCCCAGGAATTTGAGGTTGCAGTGAGCTGTGATCACACCATTGCACTCTACCCAGGGTGACAGAGTGAGACCCTGTCTCAAAAATAATATAAATAAATAAATAAAAGAATTACTTCTCCAGAGTTGGACAAGACGGTAGGTAGACTAGGGCAGAGATGAAGAAATGGTAGTAGAATTTGGGGGAAATGTGATATGAAGAAAAGGGCAGAAATAATAACAAAAGCACAACTGTGGACTACTGGAAACAGGCATCTGTAATGAAGCTTGTAGCAAGCAGAGCCTTGCCAGAGAGGGCTGATGAGAAGAGTTCAAGTGTGGGAGATTCCCTTGTCAAGTCATTCAGGGCCCTCCTTTCCAATCCGTGCCCAGATTTGTTTTCTCCACGTCTTACTGCCTCCGTTAGGGTTAGGACTTTCTGTGTTTTTTTAGAAAATCCCAGTTTGCCCATCTCTCTGGATCCCACCATTCCTGCCTACCCCAGTGACCCGCCTCCCTGGCACGAGCCCCTCCTCACGTGCCCTCCCAACGCCGTACGGTCCGTTGCCCATCCACCTCTCCTCCTCTACAACACAGAATGAACTGAATCTTTTTTTCTCTTTCATCAAATCTCTTTTCAAGGCCCTGATTTGAGTGCTCGATGAGTTATGCATGGAGACTGTGCTAGACTGGCTTATTCATAGCCTCAAGAATCTGTGCTATAGTATAGCCTCTTTGTCTTTCTGCTCTTTTCCATACTTTCATCTAAAGTTATCGGAAACCATTACCTTTGTCTTTTACTTCAGCCGTGTACCTGCATTAGTATGGGATGTTGCCTGTGGCTCCTAAAGCTCTCTGGCCATCCAGCCCCTTCCGTTGGTTCTTCTACAGCAGGGCGTGCCTTTTTGCTGCCACCCAGTCTTCCACTTGGTACCCTTCTACTTTTATCTCTGGACTGATTTGCAGAGAGTGTCTAATGGATGGCATGGAAGTTAATCAAATACTGCTGTACAGCATTTTACTGTGTGACAAAGACCATTGCACATGAGTGTCTTATTTCTATATGAAACCTTTTAAGATGGTCTTATGAGGCAAGTATTATTTTCTACTTTTTACCGAAGAAGAAACAGAGGCTCAAAGAAGTAAAATGACTTATCTAAGGCCATACTTTGATGAAGCGGCAGACCCAGGCTCTGGACTCAGAGGTCCTTGACTCCAGATCTTAGGTTCTTTCCCTCGCACCTCTGCCACCTTCCCTCCTTGGCCCTAGCCCTCCTCCCAACTGCTCACGGAGTCTCTCCACCGTGCCTCGGGTGTCATATGTGTCCGCAGATTATCATTTGGATGAATGTTTTGTCTGCTCGGTTGTAGCTCATTGAAGACGAACACCAGCTCCAGTGTGGGTTGTTAGTCTCGTTTCGTGCTCACTTTATGATAGATCCATGCTCAGAACAGCGCTTTTTCCATTCACTCCCTAGTCCTCAAGTACCGTAAGGGTGATGAAGATAGCCTTATGGAGAAGATTTCCAAACTGAACATCCACTCCATCATCAAGAAATCCAACCGAGTTAGCAGTCACCTGAAGCACCTCACTGGCTTTGCACCGCAGGTGAGATCCCTGCACTGGAAGGCCCAGCACGTGTTTGACAGCTTTTCAGGGCTCCACGGGGCAGCCCACCTGGCATCTGTGGGTGTGATTCTCTGTAGGCCTCTGGTTTTCTCAGCTGTTGGACAGGGGGCCTGTAGCCACTGACAGTGTGACTCCAGTCCCAGCCCTGCATTTGGGCCTTGGTGAGCTGCTTACAACGTGTACAGAGGCAAATTAGGAGACTGGATTAGTCGACATATGATAATTATTGTGGTTTCCAACACACTTAAGGAGCTTAAAATCTATTTGGAAAGACAGAACTAAAATTGTAGACATATTAAGCTAGAAGGGATTTAAGAGATCACCTAGTTGGATAGCTTCTGTTACAAATAAGTGTAAGAGATTGATTTGAAAAACAGATAGTTTATCAACAATGCTGAGAGTTGACCTGAAGTCTCCAGACATCATTCTACTATACCATGTGTACATGATACGATTAATGGAAAATATGAGATAGAAAATAATCAGTTACTAAGTTTTACACTTTGTTCTCTAAATGCTGTTATATTTAGAAAAACAAGAGCTCCATGAGAGTGTTGGCGTGAGCTCAGATCTAAGCCTTATAGGAAGAGGACAGGTTTGGCACAGGGAGAGGGGAGGGTCTGCCAGGCAGGGGAACCTCTCAAGGGATGCTCCTGAGGTCAACAGACGTGGCGGTGCCAGGAATGGTGAAGAAGGCAGCCCGGCCAGAGCAGAGAATCTACATCGGGAGCAGAGGGAAAGAAGGTTTGAAGGTAGGAGGGCCTGTGTGTATTTTGGAGGTGTTTCAAAGCCACCTAGAGGTGTTTAAATTCAATTCAGTATGATCCAGGGAAATATCAAAGGTTTAAAATTGGAATTGAAGAAGGTTTTAAGAAAGCTACTTTTGGCAATAAGATAGATTGAGGGAGAGTCCAAATTTGCTAACAGCATTTGTTTATTTTGAACAGATAAAAGATGAAGCATTTGAAGAAACAGAAAAGAACTTCCGAATGCAAGAAAGATTGATCAAGTCTTTCATCCGAGACCTGTCTCTCTACCTCCAGCATATTCGGGTGAGAGTCAACGTCACCGTCGTTAGAATCACATACAGTGTAATTCTGTCCCCTGTCCTATTCATCGTGTTGTTTAATTAGTGCTGAGTAATCTGGACTCGGAACCGTCATACTAACACACGCTTCTTATTGGGATTCCTATAGGTTATATAAAAGTTAACACATTGACTGCCCCACTAGAAAAAAATTCTTCCCTGGGGCCACGGTGTTTTATTAAAACAAAATGATCCTTTCTAATTTGTTATTTTATATTGTTTTCTGTGCATGAGTTATATGCAACGCAATCCACATTTTTAGAGTTAAATTGTCATTATTAATTGTAACAATAAGAACATCAACAAGTAAGATTTGCATGAACCAACTGCGAGGTTTTGCTTCATGAGGCCCTGGGCTCAAAACTAGCCTGAGTTAAATACAACTCACATGGCAATCAGTGTGTTAAACAACATTTAGAAGATCAACGCCATGGTATTAATTTTACAGTGGCCCGGCTCTTTCCTCCCTCCTTTCAGTCTTTATCACCCTTCCCCCCACACACCTTTCTTAAGTCTCTTCTACCTGATGATGTAACAAGCACTTGTTACAGTTTGTTTTGTCAAAACCAGTTTGAAGATTGAGTATTGAATACAGCAGGAAACAGAACAGAAAAGAGTAACAAGCAGTGGATGAGATGGTAAGAATAAGAGAATATTCCAGTGGAAGTGTGCCTTCTGATCATTTTAGCTCCCAATTTATTAAGTTGTTTATACATGAGGCCTCTAAAGTTGTTAGAACTGTAGGTAGCTTTGGAGAACTGGAGAAGCCAAGAAAATGAGGTGGACCTGGTCTTTCCTTGCCTCAGATGGTGCTGTCTTCGTGAAATCAGAACTAGGACTAGAATCCTTTCTATTCTTATCTCTGATTTCTCTATTGATTCAATAGAATGGTATAAGTATATGCTATTCCCCCATCCCTTACACATGAAAATCTGATCTTACAAAATAAATAACTTTCTTTAAAAGAGAACTTTTGGACTGGGTGCGGTGGCTCATGCCTGTAATCCTAGCACTCTGGGAGGCCAAGGCAGGGGGATCGCTCAAGGTCAGGAGTTTGAGAACAGCCTGAGCAAGAGTGAGACCCATCTCTACTAAAAATAGAAAGAAATTAGCTGGACAGTTAAAAATATATAGAAAAAATTATCCAGGCGTGGTGGCACATGCCTGTAGTCCCAGCTACTCGGGAGGCTGAGGCAGAAGGATCACTTAAGCCCAGGAGTTTGAGGTTGATGTGAGCTAGGCTGATGCTACAGCACTCTAGCCTGGGCAACAGAGCAAGATTCTGTCTCCAAAAAAAAAAAAAAAGATGGATAGATGGGTACCGCATGAATTAAATGAGCATCAGAAGAGAAATTGTCTTCAGGCTTGCCTTTCTTTGCTGTCACGACATTAAGGCAAAACATTTCTACAGCGTATTGTTATGTGATGAAAAATGGATTCTTTTTGACAATCACAAGCATTCACCCCAATGGTTGGATAAAGATGAAGTGCCAAAACACAGTCCAAAACCAAATATTCATCAAAAAAAGCTAGTGGTGTCTGTTTGGTGTTCCAGCACTAGTACTATCCCCTACAGCTTCATGAAACCTGGTCAGTGGATTACAGCAGATGTCTAATGCAGGCAATTGGATGAAATGATGAGGAAGCTTGTGATTAAGCAGCTGAGATTTGTCACTAGAGACAGGCCAGTCTTCTTGCAAGGCAACATTCAACCACATATCGCACTAGAAGAATAACTCCAGGAAGTACCTTCTCAGGGTAGGAGATGGACAGACTGTGGAGTTTGATGTTGTTGAAGGAGAAAAGGGTGTGGAGGCAGCAAATATTACAGGTGCTGGTGGAATTCCAGTTCAGGGCAGTAAATATGTGGCAGACCATAACCATTTTGGATGCCATCCAGGTTACAGGGGTCCTCCATGGAGTTACCAGCAGAATTACCAGAATAGTGAGATTGGGGAAAAGAATGAGAGATCAGAGACTGCTGAAGGCCAGACCCAACAACACTGGCCCTACCGCAGGCAAAGGTTCCCACCTTACTAAGTGCCGAGACCCTGTGAGCGTTCACCACGGTATTCCGACCCTCCTGTGTAGGGAGGAGCGATGGAGGGTGCTGACTACCAGGGTGCAGGAGAACAAGGTAGACCAGTAAGACAGAATGTGTGTCAGGGTTACAGACCCCGATTCCACAGGGGCCCTCCTCGCCAAAGACGGCCCAGAGAAGACAGCAGTGAAGAGAATCAAGGAGATGAGACCCAGGGTCAGCAGCCGCCTTAGTGTGGTACTGCCACAACTTCAGTTACCAACGCAGATGCCCAGAAAACCCTAAACCATAAGATGGCAAAGAGACAAAAGCAACCGACCCACTAGTTGAGAATTTGTCTGCTCTGGAGGCTGAGCAAATGCCAGGTTATCATCCCTA